TTTGATCATACAATTTTACACAAGCATGTGTTAAGGAAACTAGCAGTCTATAGTAGTATATATAGAAGTCTGTGGTTGCCGCACCGCGTGAGCCGCGCCACCGCGCTACGTTACCGCCGCAGATATTTTTATTCGTTGGTTCTGTCACCGTGGCAACTTGTGATTTTGACCAGGGGTTACAAACTCCTATTGTTCTCGATGTACCACGGTTTGCAGCGCTCTCACTGAGCGACAGGGCTCATGGACGAGAACTAATCTTTCTAGTATGTAAGTGAGTGTGTGGGGAGTCGTGTGGCTCCATACGATAGACGGTTGACTCGTGATCTGTGGATCCGGGTTCGAATCCGTCTACTTCCCATATACGTGATTTTTTCACGGTTAATGTGTAAGAGTGTATAAGAAATAGAGGTAGTTGATAAAAAGAGAATAAGAGTTATTAAAGTGAAACAGTGAATTGCCAGGATTGAGATATTAGAGTGTAAATAGATATGAATGTATATAGTATATTAGGAATTTAAGAATAATAGAATTTTATTACGAGTTGATTACTCGAACTGGATTTTCATTGCGTCATATTGCCTAAGGATTAAAGGCTGAAGACGTGACTGCCGTTCGGATTCGGCGTTAAACTGTAGGTCCAACTAAAAAAAAAAAAGTGAGTGTGTGAGAAAGCGTGACTCGCACAGTCGCCCTCTCATTCATTCACTTACATACTAGACTCAGTGAAGTTGCTACAAACCGTGGTACATCGAGAACAATAGGAGTTTGTAACCCCTGATTTTGACGCCCTCATAAAAAAGCGTCTGCGTGTGATACACGTATTACCCGCTCGGTAGCTACAGCCTTGACGATAAACATCAAACGTTTATCAAAATTATTATGAAGATATTATTAACTAATTATATTAATGTAATTTTTCTTATCCGACATAGCAAAATTCTTTTAATATGATTTTGAATATCGTTATTTTATTAAAAAAATAATAAGTATTGAAATTGATGTATTGGAGTACAAATTAGTCCGTTTTCCAAAAGATGATCGCCTCCAAAGCGAGTCATTTTTTCGAAATGTCGGAATTCGAAAATTGCCTGAGAGATGGGGAAAAGTAGTAGCCAGCGATGGACAATATTTTATAATTAATCTGTTCGTTCATTTTGTTTAGAAATAAATGCATTTTGGAATATAAAAAACGGACCGAACAAATTTATACATCTAATATTTTTATATAAATTACATCATTATTTTTTTATATATATTTGAATGAGATATAAGTTCATAAATTTGTTGTAAATATGTAAAAACCATATTTTTATATATATTTGTTTCATTATTTATAATCAAATATCAAATCTTATTGGACCGTGGGAATTTAAACGAAATGGATGACGATGAGAATATTCCTTAACGGTCAAGCTAGATCACGGATGCTCATTCCTCGTAGGAATGCCAGAGATTCGGGTTCGACTCCCGACCGAGGTAATATTTTTCACAATAAAAAATTAATAATTTACAGATTTAATATGTCGATTTACAGATTTTAATATGTCATTAAACATTAAGATTAATCTAAAGGTGCGCAAAGAGTATCAAAAAATTGTTAAATTGTCAATTTAACTCATGGTATTATTGCGGTAGTTTGATAACGTTGCGTTTCAAGTCTAAAGAAAATTCGATGCGCAATTAAGAATCTACAAACGTAGTATATAAATTCATACGTAATTATATAGCGAAGCATCCGAGATCTAACTTGACCGTTACGGCATATTCTCATCGACATTCATTTGGATTATATATAATATTTTTGCATTTATAACGGAAAATTAATCAAAACTGATATTGTATCTTTAGTATTTTCTTATATTTAAAATTCTCTTATCTATTGTAATCAAACATTGGCTTATTACTCAAAAAACAATCTTGCGATGATTAGAGCTGTTTTAAAGTTAAAACAACTATGCGCGATTTTGAATTTAAATGAACTAACGAGATATATACCTTACTAGTATTAGAACACCAGTTGACGGTTATGATTGACAGTTGCCAGGTTCTATTTTAGTTTCAATTACGATGGATTCACTGCATCATGATTAGCTGAAATAAAACCAAGTAGCCATCAATCGTAATCATCAACCCATAGTCTAATAGAACTTTAGAGTTCGTATTTCCTCTCTCTCCTCTCCTCTCTCTCTCTCTCTCTCTCTCTCTCTCTCTCTCTCTCTCTCTCTCTCTATCCCATATATCATTTTATCTTTATTTAACTATTAGTTTAACTTTCAACAATAAAAATAAAATGATACATGAGGATACTAAATCCGAACGTAGCCTATACAGATGTTTAAGAAACCTCGAGCTTCTTAGGATTCTTAAAATATTCTTATATGACAAAGTGAATTTTCTCTTCGAATTTTGTAGGATTTTCCGAGTGCTCTTATACAACAAATCCAATCAGATCTATGGTATAAATCGGATTTGGATTGGGAAAAACTTTACTTTTCTGTCTTTTCTTCGAACAATGCTTTTAAGATATCGTGTGAAGTCCAAACGTTCGGCCCCGTCAGAAGAACGCGTCCTCAATAATAGCATCGCAAGAAAATTACAGTTTTATCAAAGCTACAACATATAAAGTTTATTATATTTGTTTAGTTCAAGTAAGTCGAAAAGATATGATTTATATCTTATTTTACGAACAATGACTCGAGATATTTGATCTTTATACCTTATATTATATTCTCTACAATACATCGCGATAAAAAACGTTTTGATCATATTGGTGAAACAAGGAAATTTTTCTTTTTAAGTGAACGGAATTTTCCCGACATATTTGTATATGTTTTGCAGATTATCGGCTCGATTTAATCTCGAAACGTGGCCGCGCAAAATATTTCGTATCTCGTCGAGTAGCTTTGTTTAACCACCGCTAACGTGTAACAATGTAATTAGCGATCACGATCTTGGAGTATGCACGTGCGGAAGTCCTCCATCTCTTAAGAAATTCCAACCGTCGCTCGCGGCCGATTTCTTGAAAGATTCGCGTTCTGATGAGGGGATGAAATATACTTCACCATTCGCGAGTTGTTTTTTTCGACATTTTCCGGGAATTGTTCAAAACAAATTTAGATCGAAGGGATTTTTCCAAAGGCCTTTTCCTATCTCGCACGAGAGAATGGCACTGCCACTTTCCATGCATTACCGCATCCTGAAAATAATCGATCGACCCATATACGACATCGATATCTGCACTAGAACATTCTGCCATCAGAAAGGGGAAGTTTGTACACTCTCCTAAATTTCGTATAGCACGCAAGTTTCAATGGGAGCTGTAATGGATGTACTCGAAGTGTAGGTGTACCGAACTTTGAGAGCGCTTAAGATCCATGGAGCTCTTCTTTACAGTACGATACAAGCTTATCGGCTATTTTTCGACCATCGCGTTTCTCTCTGACAAGAAATGTTAATGCGTAGCACGGAGATTCGCGAGGCACGCGATAAAGTTAGAGGAAAATATATATAAATAGTCTGGAATTTTGAAATTTACTTACAATTCTCTTAAATTATCCTATTCCACAAAATTGTTATAATTTTTTAAATATTATATCTGACGTTTATATTCAAATTCATTTAAAATTCACGCATTTTAAATAATTTTAATAAAATAATAGAAATTTATATCTTATTTAGTATTTTTATTTGATCATCCTTTTTCGTCATACCTGCATTCTTTCTTTCAATATTATTTAACTTTATGTTGACTTGAATTTGCCAAAACTCAAAATTTTATTATGCTGTTAAGTTTCCTTTTACGTTGTTTTCTTAATAAATAATATAGGCTAACTTTTCTAAAATTCTTGACCCTAAATGTTGAAATTTACATATTTTATATTGGTTATGGAAAATTTTCCATTTTTATCCGGAAAACCTGGAGAAATTAGGGAATTTTTTAATTAATTGTCTGTGGCAACACTGATTAAATTTTTAATGATATGTAGGGGAGCGAGGGGCTAGTTGTAACAATTTTCAAAATATTGTGTATATATACATATATATATATATATTATGAAACCTATCAAGTATTTTATAATTATAATTACTTTTATCGAGAAATCAATCATTCATACAATAAATCAGAACAGAAAATATTAAAGATTACCAACACATATTCCCCAAAACATGCGTTTTATTAAAAAAGACAGTTGTTACAATTTGCCCCGTGTTTGGGGCTAATTGTAACAGCAATGAGGCATGTAGTAACAATAATTAATTTGTGAAGTTTTAACAGATTTGAGTCTTTATTTTTGAAAAATAAGTACAAAAATAATTATTATAGAAAATCTTATTGTACTAAGTCTTGTAACTTATTATTTATTAAAATTATCAACAAATTTAAACTTTCAAATCAACAAACTAAATATATTTATTTTAAACGAAATATATATATATTTTTTTTTAATATTAGATCTGTCGACATTTTTGTTCTTGAAACTAAAATAAACTTTGTTAACAACAATCAACTTTGTAAATTAAACAGTGTTTGCTACTTCATTAAATTTTCATAATCAAAACTTATAAATCAATATAGCACTTTAATTACAATGTCACAGTCTCAGGAACCTAAGTAGCTATAAACCTATAATTGATACTTAATAAGTAAATCAGTCTTCTTTGTTAGAAGTCCTATAGACACCGCTGCAAACTAACTAACAATATCATTCATCAGAGTTTGAATCAGAACTCAATATTTTTTTCTTAACCTTATAAATTTTTTCTTTAATCGTTTTCGTCGACTTTCTTTTATCCTTTCCTTTTCCCTTTATTTTCCCCTTCCCTTTATTCTTATTATTCTTGCTCATTTTTTCTTCATGCTCTCTTGCTAAAGCATCTTTTTCTGGCGTATCAGTTAAGACAGCTGATTTTCTTTTGCGATAATTGTGGGTAGTTCGTTTTCGGGGTGGAGCCTTAGGGAAAGGTCTGACTTTTGATGGTGAAAAGTTTTTTAATTTATTCTACAAGTCAGACGAACCTGGAGTCAGTAACGCTACTTCACATTCTTTATTTAGCACGCTAGAGGAATCTGGAATCAGTAATACAGTTGCTGCTGTATCCGTTGTTATGTCCGTCACGCTTATATTCAGTTCAGGAACAGATTCTAATAATTTTGTGTTTTCAAGGTCCAGCGTCAAATTGGAAACATTTTGTGTGAAATTCACAGTATCTTTCTCTGGGTCAATAGACATTGGACGATCAGTGACATAAGACGCTGCAAAGTCACTGTCCTGAAAAATATCAGCATTGAAGGGCCATAAACCAGATCCTTTAAATCCACTCATAATGTTTGCAGGGTTTAAGGCCTGTGGTAATGAATCCTTAACCACACCTGGGATATCATATATTGTCATAGTTTTTCCTGGATGATTAGTCATCCATGCTGTTTGTGCTCGGTTTACGTAGTTTTTAAATGGACCATAGACTCCCACATCTAATGGCTGCAGTTTGTGAGAGCAGTGCGGCGGAAATGACAACATGATTATATTGTTTTTCTTGGCCTTCTCAACGACTTCAATATTAACATATGAATTGTGATTATCGAGCAGTAAAAGAACGGGCTCTTCGGCGAAAGGTTTAACATATTTAATAAAATGATCTATGAATATGACAAATTCTTTTTCTGACATCTATCCCGAAGAATTGCCAACGCCGATGGAATCTGGTAGACCACCACGGAGAAATATTTCTTTGTATCTAATTCTTGGGAATACAAACATTAGTGGGATAGAGTTTCCGGCTGCATTTATAGCACATGCGAGCGTCACGAGTGTTCCTCTTTCGGCAGAAGTAATTGCACCTATTTGTTTTTGACCACGAGCAGCCACTATCTTTTTAGGTTGTTGCACAGTTGTGACCCCTGTTTCGTCAACGTTCCATATGCGAGAAGGAGTAAATTCATACTTTTGAAGTAATCTTTGATATTTTTCAAAAAAATTATTAACGTTGATTTTATTGAAAGATGTTGCTCGACTTAGTGACGTTGCTTCTGGTGTTCTTAATGATAGTCGATGATTCCTACGCATGAAATTTTGAAACCAATCCGGTCCAGCCATGTTATTCTCATGCCAGCAAGGGGGGATATTTTTTATTTCAAGCATTACAGCGCATTGGTAAGCTAGCTTTCTGACTTCCGTAGGCAATAGCCCAAAATATATGTCTGAACATTTGAGTAAATAGGAAGCCAACTTATCCTCTGCTTCTTGCGTGAATATCAATCTAGGTTTGACATAGCCAATTATAGGACATTCATTGTTCTTCTTTTTCTTAATATATCTATATAACGTCACATGGCACAAATCAAAATTTTTACTCGCTTTTCGTATGCTCGTATTATTTTGTAAAACTTCAACTGCAGCCAACTCATAGATATCTTGGCTTTTCGCTGCCCTCACCGATTTCTTTTTGTAGTTTCTCATACTAAAAAAGACACACAAAATATATAATGAAATACATTAAAGCTCACAAAACCACCCATGCAAATATAAACATCAGAGGCATATTGTAACATGTTACAACTAACCCCAAGAAATTGTTTCAACATGCCTTTGTTTCATGCTTAGCATGAATTTCTAGGTTAATTGAGGTTAATATTTATTTATGTCAATAGTAGTAAAAATCAATATAGCATAGTGAAGGTAGATATATTTAGGAACGTAATGTTCAAAATAGTTATAACAATTGATAACAATAAGTATCAAAAATCAAAGTTTAAATAAATTTTTTTTGTCATTACCTGGCTGAATTGCAGCACGTGCACGTAACCTCTCACTGCGCTACCTGGCGGAACACTGGTTGTGCTTACGTAATGCGGGCAGTTATAAGGCTAAATCATGTTAAATATTCGACGTCGAAAAGTTCAAAATCTCGGTAAAAATTGCGTGTTACTATTTACCCCTGTTACAACTAGCCCCTCGTTCCCCTACGGCTCTAAGTTTATCTTGTTATATTTTTATAAATGACGAATTTATTTAGAGTTGTATTTACATATTTAAAGCTTAATATTAAAAATTTTTGTCATTTTATTCAATATGAATAATTGAGTCATGTTTACTAACTGTTTACTAATTATATATTTATCTTATTGCTTTTTTAAAGAAACTTTACGGTTTTCTTTCAAATTGTTTCTCTCGTGTTTTAAACTAATTAATCGAAAATAATTAATCGTTTCCTATAATTTTTATTTATATTATATAAGAAAAACGACATCTAACACACTGTAAAATGTCTTCAGAATAACTTTCAGTGTAAAATTTTTGTCGATTAATCGTAAGTATATGTTTTGTCAAAGGCAAGCAATTTGCACGTTCCTAGTGCACGTGTAAACTGTCCGTCAGTCGAAAACGTTTACATATAATAGTTCTCTCCGTTTACATTTAATAGTTCGTCTCACAAGAACAATTGATAAAAGCTCGTGTCAGTTTAGATCACTTATGTCGCAAAATTCTCCAGCAATCGGTAGTATTGTTGAAATAATTAGTGCGGGTCTGCGCGCTGACGTTGAATTCCGGACAAATTCCCGCCGTGATCGCCAATAGACCATGGTCAAAGTAATGCTCCATTTGATAGTACACCCATTCGCACAGCGATTGCACGCAAGCCTACTTCCGTTTTGCATTCGACCGCGTTTGCTAGCCGTGCCTGTTGCATGTTACAGAGAATTAATTCAAGATATGTGCGTGGAACTTACAAAATACGATTTGAATCGTAGTATTGATTTTAGAATCTCATTAATTTTGACATTCAATAAGCTTGAAGGAAATTGCTTGAAGGAAATAAAAAAAAAGGGATTGTAGATAGATGCTTCTAAATTAAAATTATACGATTTCGGGAATTAAAATGGAAAAAAACAAGAAAAAAGGTATAGAATAAATATGTTTAAATATTAAATATGTATATATGAATATTATATTATATGTATATGTATTGTATATGTAAATGTATCAATCAAATTTAATTTGATACATTTCGTTAATATTAAAGTTTTCAACTTTTTGAAATATATTATTACTTTATTAACAACTTCAGTCAGTGTTCAAATTTTAATGTGTTATACAAGAAGACTAGAACCAGGAGAGTAAACTAGCGTGGTGGGGGTAGGTCAAAAAACGTCCGCGGTTATTCATTCAATGCGCAGTGGCATTGCACATTGAATGAAAGTTTGCGCATGCGCGCGTCGGTTATAACCAAGAAGTCTTGTTCTTAAGCTTTGCGTTATCAAGAAATCTTCTTGGCGTTATATAGCCCAAAAAGGTTAGGGCTAAAGACGCTTTATTTTCCCCTCATCCGAGGGACACACTTAAAAAAGAAAAAAATCTTCTTAAACCATCTTAAACAGAATGTAAGTTGTAAAAAGAAATTATACTGTATATTAAATAACTTGTTTATAGGTAAATTCTGTATTGTATACAAATTTTGGAGTATGATTACAGTAATTTTTTTTTATTTACAGAATATTATTAATATTTCCGTCGTCGTTGGAATAACATATATTGAAATATGTATGATTTTTAGTCTTCTTGAGTCCAAAATTCAATTAAACAGAAACAAGGTTTGTTTGACATGCGCAGTCACGAATTGAAAACGACTATCAGAGCGACAGAGAGGACTAATGAAGCGCAAGAGTGGGGGAAGTTATCCGCCGTCACTTTTTGGCCTACCCCCACTACCGATATTTGACCGAGTTTACTCTCCTGGTTCTAGTCTTCTTGGTGTTATAAGAAAGTTTTTATAAGAGAGAGACGTGAATATGCTCTTTACACAGTTGACTTCAGGATAGTGGATAATGAATACTTTTTGTTTAGATAGTGTAATCTTTTATTCCTACATAAACCGATGGTGATAATAATAGTCATTAGATCGTTAATATAATATTTTTATATAGTACTGAAAAAAATGTATTGAATGAAAACGATGTTTTTATTTAACAAGAGAAGCAAATTAAGTTACAGTACTTCGCACTCGATTTTATATTTCAATCTGTTTATTCAGATGTTTCGCTTTTCGAAGAAATTATGCATCCCTTTATCGTGTGTTGGAATTACAATGCATGGTATTCGAAAAATTCTATGCACGTATTGTACATGTGTGAATAATCATGATAAATATCTCTGAGCAAATATACGCCGCATTTGCGTTTTCACTGTCTCTCGCTGCACTTGTATTTGCATAGTAATTGCTAATTACCAATCAAGCTTTGTGTTGGAATGCGAATCTTGTGGGAAGTACATCGAAGCTGATTCAACAGTTGGAGATAATCACCTGCGCCCTTGATAACATTAGGGATCAATTGCAGAAACTAATTACGTCAAGTTAAGGGGAGGTTCTCATCTAGCGACCCGAAAATAAGGTAATTTTCTTGAATTTTTTTCTCATGGTAGGATGTAAATTATCAATTCTAGTTTTTTGGCACATATTTATCAAGTATTTAAATACAAAAATAAATTTTTTCGACGCTTAATATAGTGAAGAAAATGTTTTATGCGTGCTGCAACGTGACCGTGTGAAAAAAATGTTGGTTGATTACAGCCAGGATTGCGGTCGAACGGATGATCTAAAACGAAAAAATCAAAAATTTTCTTAACATATATGATATTTGTTGGAGCTTGAACCTATAAAATCGAAAAAATATCGAAAATTGAAAAAATGACATGCATTTGAATTTTAAATGTCGTTTTTTACGTTTTTGTTCGCTCTTCAAAGTGCTATAAAAAATCGAAAAAACATGAAATATCAGTCGCATTTAAGTTCATCCTCCAATAAATTTAATTTACTTTAAAATAAAAAAAAATTTGACCCGATCCGTCAATTAAATCTTAAGAAATCGTGGCTACAGTTTTGAAAAACAGTATTTTTCAGAAAACGCGTTTAAAGTTTTGATAAGGGTTTTCTTACATTTGACCACTAATTTGAATGCAACGCCTGCACCAGCAGTTTTTGAAAATTGCACGTCGCTTTTACAATTTTTACACTTCACAATCGTGCTGAGAAAAGTGAAAATATTTAAGAAGTGCAAAATCACATAATTTTTTTTATTTTTTCGTCAATTTTAGTCGATTTTAGTGTAAAAAGGTGGGTTCGCTTTTTGTACCACAACTTTTCTTTTTCAGCCAAACTTTTTCTGGCGTTTATGGGGGCTTATTCTACACATAATAAGCTATCAAAAAACGCAAAAAAAAATTTTGACATTTTCGGGTCGAGTTTCATGAGAACCTCCCCTTAACTGAGATGCCGAATTGCGAAATATATTCTCGTAGCGTAACAAGAAGTTTATTTCATTTTAACGGTAATCAAAGAACTAATAAATTTAGTTTAGCGATAAATAATTTTTATAGAAATAGTTATTTAGTTAAAAAACAATACAATTTTATGATTAAACGAACTTATCTGTAAGTGAAATTCATAATTGTATGAAGCGCCTCTTCCGAAAGATAAAACGTAGTTTTATACTCTTCAACCATATGCCAAGGCGTCACAAGCTTTAAAGAAAATGTCTATCTTATATGTTCCTCTTCCACGCGTCATTCTTTTTAAAGTCTAGCTGCAGCCCGCTCACAATGTCTTGGGGTTCAAGATTCTCGGACGTGGGTATAGGGGGGAGACTTATCTTTCGGAAGAGGCGCTTCATACA